CATTTACTGTGGCTATTTTATACGGATCTTGCATTGTGCCCGTACCCGGTCCAGCAGGAAGGACGGTGGGTTGCAAGTCATTTGTTGTGGCTATTTTATACGGATCTTGCATTGCGCTCGTACCCGATCCAGCAGGAAGGCCGGTGGGTTGCAAGTCGTTTGTTGTGGCTATTTTATACGGATCTTGCATTGTGCCCGTACCCGGTCCAGCAGGAAGGACGGTGGGTTGCAAGTCGTTTTTTTGTGGCTATTTTATACGGATCTTGCATTGTGCTCGTACCCAGTCCAGCGGGAGGGACGGTGGAACTGGTCTGTGTTTTCCAAGAATCAGGGCAAGCACAAGATTTTAGCGCGGTTATTTCTTTGTTGATTTGCTTTATTTTTGTTTCAAACTCGTGGATTTTGAGGGCCTGGATTTCTGCTTTTGTATTGTTTTGATCGCTTCCAACTTGAGTTTGTGTATTCGTCAGCTCTGTTGTCAGGTTTTGCAGCGTTGTGTCCATATTGGCCAAATGAGTTTTCATCTCTTGGATGGTTTCTTTAATTTCGGTGACCCCATTCTCGTTTTCCGTAATCTTTCCGACATAAAATGCAATAGAAGAGCGAAGCGATTTTAAAGGATCGCTGTTCTGGATTTTCGTGGCCTTTTCCATGGCATCAGTGTCCTGAAAATCGACTTCGCCTCCTGTACACGCATAGCCTGTGTAGGAAAAAAAACAGGCTTAGAAAAAAGGCGATCGGCCGAAGGGAACCTGAAGAAGTGTGCATGAAATCTTCTCAATGTTTAAAAAATAAAAATCTTACTCGCACTAATTCCAAGATAGAATCGAGGAACTATTTGAGCTTAACAATATTTTTTTATTATTTATATACTATAAAAAAACCTTTTTTGTTATGCTTAGGCTGTTTACCTCTAAAAACACTTTTTTAACCCACAGCCAACGCTCAAGAGAGCAAAACAATCACAAAATGCAGAGGAACATCGGTGGGTGAACTAGTTCTTGCCTAAAGGCTAGAGATTATCGCGAATTATTCAAAGATGCGCAGAAAAGAAATGAGATATTTTTCAAAATGTTAGAGATATGATATTCACGGACCCAAAACACGATCTGGCATTTCGCAGAATCTTTGCAAATCCAAAACACAAGCACATCTTGATTTCGTTTTTGAATGCTGTTTTGGACTTTGATGGAAAACTGAAAGAGACGGTTTTAGGCATGAAGGCGACCAACATAGCAGGCCAATAATTCTTGGTGGAGATGCAAAACCAAGGCCGTGTACTAAAAAAGAAAAAAACTCAAATATCAAACTCACAAGGAAAACTGGCTTTCATTTTGAAACCTCATTTTGCTGAACTCTCGACACAGATTGAGTCTTAGAAAGCAGGCTCCAGGCACACCCAACGACTGTTTTCTGAAAAATATCTGTTCGGAGAAGCAAAAATTGCGTAGACTTTTTCTATGGCTTGGGGAAGGCTAAAAAGTTCTAGATGACCGTTGCATTCATGTATAATTTTCGAAGCATATATCTAACAAATACCCTACGATTTTCTGAAGTTTAATTTTTCGCATTTCAATCCCCAAGTTAGCCTAATTTTCGCAGAAAAAGGAAACCGAAAATTTTCGGACTCGAAAATAAGATGGAGAGAGGAATCAGAAAAATTCTCACTTTCGTAAAACTTAAAATTGCATCTAAAATTTTCTGGAAAATAATACTGAGGCCCTTGTAATTTCGAAAAGACTCAAGTTGCCCTAGGACGACCGAATAGATAGAAATTTTATAGCACCACTTAGAATGCATTTCTGGAGATGTGAAAATACTCTGGATAGCCTAAAAAGTGTTTTCAATGAATTTGGGAGGAAAACGTCGTTGGGTGCCCCTGAAAAACGAGCCACTTTGACGACTCACGACACGGCCATTCCGTCAGCCTCAATGCCCGGCAGTCCGAATGTTTCATCCATATTGGTTGTCTTGCTATCATCTTATTCTTACGATCAAATTGGCCGGCTTTGTAGATTCCTTTATCATCTCTCCCAGCGCATACTTAGCTTGTTTGTTATAGCCGTCATATGAGAGTATATGGTCTGTCACGGTCGTGACGGTTTTCTATAACAAACAAGGTGCGTAAGTAGAACTTGTGTAGAACTTGTGCATATCAGTGACTTGAGATTGATCCGCCTTGTTTTTGACCTCTCGAAGTGGGAGAGTATAAGAGGGCAAGGAACTGGCTATTATTAGTGGACAAACAAACAAACTTTCTTGACTTTATCTTCGACATGAAGATTTCAGTACCAAAACAATGACAATTTATTGTCATTTATCTTACTTTTTTCATTTAAATGAAAAAAGTAAGATAAAAGTTAAGTAAGAAAGAAAGAAACAATTGAATATTATCATAAAAGAAAAATTACTTGGCTATGTACGGCTTCTACGCTACTCGTATGGTAAGAAAGTTGAATGAGAGTTCGGATGCATAATAATTTAGAATATTTTCTTAAGAGGCACCGCGATTTATGATGTTTTAATCGCACATAGACATGATATATAAAAATAGTGCCTTGTAAGACATATGCGTAAAATTGCTGTTTAACGAGTATAGGCTCTCCAAAAAGATACCCCTTATATGAGAAAGTGATGAGTGGGTACAATTCAACAAATAGTAGAATTCATCACCAATTTCGGATCTATTACAAAGCCGGGGCAAAGCCTCTTAACGCTGTCGGGTATCTTCTTTGGTGCCCAGATTCAATAGGTAGCAAGTGGCAAGAAATTCGCGTTTTGGTTAATACTGCCACTCTTGTCTTAACATTCTCTATTAAATCAAGATAAGATTCAAATCTGACTTCGTTTTTCACTTCACTATCCAGACTTAATTTATTTCCAACTGAGGAGTCGAATTTATCCTTGTTCAGACTTTTCGACCAATATTGTTGGTATTCTTTAAACAAATTTCTTTTAAACATTCTAACCACGTGAGGAAATGTTCTGTAGTCAAGATGAGGCAGATTTGGAGTATAATCACTTAATTTGGTACAGCCGTAATAGGTGTCTTGAAGTAGTAAACCATGAATGCTTACCTACATTATTTAAATGGATGTTTATCTCTAGCGCGCTATTTAAAATTTGGGTATTTTGTAAGGTAAGTAATCTTAAGAAGTACTTAAAAATTCTAGTGTAAATAATAAGATGAAGAGGAAAACGTCTGAGTTTTCACTTCACAGCATGGTTTCTTGCTTTAGAGCGAACCCCTAAGGCCATTTTGCATACCTTGTTTAATATGCATATTCTCGGGTGTTATTCGTTCATCAAAAATTGTCGAGACAAATTTGCTATAGTTATTCCCGACTGATTTTAAAAACAACCCCAAATTTCACAATTGTACAAAAGGATTGGGCTCACAAGAGAATCAAAAAGTTTAAGAACTCTTGAGACAGATGCACCATTGTAAACATTTACCTCTGACAGGAAACTATAAAGAGACCTGGTGGCTTTGTCATGTTGCTTTTTTTGTGCCAGTAAAAAAGAACCAGAAGGCGGGAAAGTTATCCCAAGGCAGACGTAACTATCTGTTACTTGGATTGGCTGGTATAGCTTCAATTCACTTCTAAATATTTTACCACTTTAATTGAAAATAATACCTTTTGTCTTTCTTATATTTATCCTCATTTGCCATTTCTTAGCGAAACAACTTAACTTATCAAAGCATCTCTGCATCCATGTTCTGATTCGGAAAGCAGGATAAGATCATCTGCATATAGTAAACAACTGATTTTTCATTTTCCCATGACTTTCATCATTGTAATGACGAACTTATCTTTGTCATTGCCTAAACATGTGCAAAAATGTCCCAGAAACTGTACAATGAATAAAAAAAGTGCGAATTTTGTGAAAAAATGGGCTAAATTTCAAACTAAAGCACAGAAATGCTCAAAAGTCCATTTTATCCGGGAGATTTGGTGCTATAACCGGGAGATCGGGAGATTTGATGAAAAACTTGGAGACTCCCGGGAAAACCGGGAGAGTTGGCAGGTATGCAGATGCACCATTGTAAACATTTACCTCTGACAGGAAACTAAAAAGAGACCTGGTGGCTTTGTCATGTAGCTTGTTTTGTGCCAGTAAAAAAGAACCAGAAGGCGGGAAAGTTATCCCAAGGCAGACGTAACTATCTGTTGCTTGGATTGGCTGGTATAGCTTGAATTCACTTCTAAATATTTTACCACTTTAATTGAAAATAATAGCTTTTGTCTTTCTTATATTTATCCTCATTTGCCATTTCTTAGCGTAACAACTTAACTTATCAAAGCATCTCTGCATCCATGTTCTGATTCGGAAAGCAGGATAAGATCATCTGCATATAGTAAACAACTGATTTTTCATTTTCCCATGATCTAGCCCGCAGTGCAGGCGTTTTCTTTTAGCGCGCAATTTGCTCTCGAAAGCGCCATGTTGAAACTTCCCAAGGAGAGGAGGAGATAGGGCGAGTCAAAGGGAGCGGGGAGGGGGCGGGGAGAGAGAAGAGAAAACGCCTGCCCGAAAACAATGTGAAAATGAGAAACACCCCCTTAGACGCGCGTGACCGCTCTTCCACTGTCATAAAATCAAAGATGGCGGCTACAACAACATCACGAACACGAACAAGGTTTCGCCCACCCAAAATACGCCTGCACTGCAGGCTACCCTAGTCTGCTACACAGCCGTTTTTAGTGTGGTCACGCAATGCTCCTCCAGTGGGGAGGAGCGTTGCGTGACGACACTAAAAACGGCTGTGTAGCAGACTACAGGCTACCCATGATCATGGGATCACAAGTGGAGTCAAATATATCAACAACGTTATTTACAAATATGTTAAATAATGTTGGGCTCAGGTTACAGCCCTGTCGTACCCCTAAAGGAGTAAACGTCGCCATTAGCCCGCTTTTTGCTTTTACCGTAGCCTACGAAAACATCCGTTTTTCCTCGCTCTTCGCCGCTGGGGACGTTTCAGAAATATAATCTTCTGAGAAAATCCATATTTCATTAGCTTATAGAAAAGGCCGTTTCTCCAAATTGTGTCATAGACCTTTTGAAAGTCGACGAAGCAGGCGTATACCTTTTTATCATTTTTCGTATAAAGATCAATTGGAGACTTCAGAACAAAAACGTGGTCAGACGTCCTATAGCCTTTCCGGAAGCCAATTTGGTTGTTATGTATTATATTGTGTTCGTCAAGATATTTTGTAAGACGGTTATTGATAATTTAAAGGGTAAAGAATTTACCTAAACAACTACATACAGTAATTCCGCGATAGTTGTTAGGGTCGTCTATATCACCCGCTTAAAGACGGGTGAAATATAACCCACCGACCACAACTGGGGAAATATGCCGGAATTCAAAACTTTATTAAAAAGGATTTGCAGTACAGGCCCAATGATGGACACGCTTGATTTGATCATCTGCCAATAATGGTTGATGCTTTACGTATCTCTTCAAGCGTGATTGGTTCGTCTAGGATTGGTTCATTTGATTTTGCGATTAATGGGCATCATTCAGAAGAATCACAGTCTTTTGGAATGAATAATACACTGGTCTATTTAGCCGTCGATCTAACCGCGTTGAATTTTGAAGAAAAACTATGCCACATCGCCAATGACGTTTTGAGTAGCTGTTCTTTGTCTTCTTTGTTAAAATGCAGCCGGATATGTGATTCGGATGCATTTTACTCCCGGGGGAAGGGACTCCGCATATGAAAGGGGTAAGGATGCTCGTCGGAAATTTTGAATTAAACCCCTAAAGAAGACCGATCTGCGCGTGGCCCAAGCTTTTTTTTTACCCCTAAAAGAGACCATGTTAAAACATAGACAATATAGATATTTTCATATTTTTTCGCGTGCAACCCTAAACGAGACCTTACCGGGTAAATATGACGGCGTTTTGCCCAGAGCACCCTAAGTCAGACCAAAATCCGAAATTTATACCCCTAAGCGAGACGACGAGCATCCCCATACCTTTCATATGCGGAGTCCCCACCCCCCGGGATTTTACCAAGAACAACGAAGTCATCTAGCACTGATAAATAGCAGCCGCGCTCTTGGCTATTTATCAATATTTATTTGCTTGTTTGTTTGTTTGTTTTAAACTGTAGATGAATCTTTACGCCGCAGCACACCATCAAACACAGATCGTTTATGGATGCTCGAAAGAGAAAAGAAAAGAATAGTAGACATTTATATATGGAAGTATTATTTGAGGTTAACGTTTGATCTGTTTTGAGAAAATGGAAGTAAAGTTAGTCTCAAAGATTTTTAGGTGTTTTAGTGACCTTGAATACTAAAGGATAGCATTTCAGCAGAAATGAAAGTATAGATCTACTTTTTATCCATTGATATTCCAAATCCTGTTAGCACCTGTAATCGCACACTGAATTTTTCACGTGAACCTTGTTCTGCATTGTCATCCGCCAGCGAGCAAGGTACACCAGCTTTATGGGCAGCAAAAGGACCGGAAATCTCAATGAACAAAGTGCTTTTTCATATACACGAACGCATAGATGATAAGCAGTATTCACGTGGATAATGCATAATAATCAATGTAGGGGGTCGGGGATAGGATGGCCTTTACTTTCTATCTTTACTAACCTAAGCTTTCTAGGTGATCGCGAAAAAAATCCTAACGGAAACGGGCTCTTCTCCATGCATTTTCAACCGGTGAAGGCTTAAAAAAGTTACAACACATCGCATGTTTGAATCGACTTTCACTTTGCAACCGGCTAAAGATTTTTATCCTTGTAGTCGAACATTCTTTAGCAAGAACAATAGAAATGGAGTGTGTTTATGGTACACAAATTAAAGAACAAAGCTTTTTTGGAACAAACAGGGACATTGTGAGATAAACCGCAATTGTAAAGAAAACAGAATGTTCATTGGATATATCAGTTTGAAAATACGATTTTCCTGCTTTTGCTGGAGGTTTTCGCACAGTCACCTCTCCATCTGTCATTGCCTTTGGTATTTTAAACTTGCCCTCCGGACAGCACGATAGCAAGTATGCAATCAAAACCCTTTTTACCCCTCTTACAAATCAGACGTGGTGAATAATGACGTTTTTTTTACAGAATATTCAGCTCATCCATTTATATTAATACCTTTTTAACTGTCTCACAGAGAAACGATCGTGTGCTGAGGTAAACTAGGTTTAATAAAGGAAACTGAGTTCTACAAGGAAAACAAAATCGATGGGAAGATAAAAAAAAGGGTCACAATCATTTTTTCGTACCTCTCTCGCAGTTCTCCTCCAAGTTTCTCCTGACAGGAACTGCAAAGAAAAACATTTTCATTTGGAACATCAAGGAAAAGTTTCATTAAGTAAATATTTTCTAGAATACATAGTGAGAAAATTGCTCTTCCCTGTACAGTACAACCTGTGCATAACGCACAAATTGAACACCACTGATGTTGGGAACGAAGCGGAAAAATTTTGCAAAATGTTTAATCTTTTTTCAAGGTGATAACAATTTACACCCCGGAGTTAGATTTTAACTTGTTTTCTCCGCAAAAAAAAAGAAGAAGAAAAGAAAATTTATTTGCTAAGCAAAATGGCACTAACGCGCCTTGAACATTGGTTACAGTATATCTATTTTAAAAGACCTGGAAGTCTTTGCAGTATATTACAATGGCAAGTATTAAAAACAATCCTGCAGAAAAAAGTGAAAGATAGGGATTCGTCTTACCAGCCAGCACACTGCCAACAAAAACGCAAGCCAACATTAGCTTCATTTCTCCTGATATCATCCTGATCGATGCTTTTGTAGTCTCTGAATGAGCTACTGAGCGCAGAATGGAAAAATCAGGGTCTTATATTATGACAAGCCTGCGAAAAACAATACTTGACTTTTCGTGTAATTCTTCCGGAAGGCCATTCGATCCGGGAACATTTAACCTGAGATCGGGCGTTATCTTTTTTTTCTCCTTCTTTGGCTGGAGAGGAAAAAATAATACAGTGAAACCTTTATTAAGCGGACACCTCTATTAAGCGGACGCGGACACCTAAAAAGTACCTGAAATGTTCATTTCCACTGTTACCAACCTGTATTAAACGGACACTTGTTATCAAATGCCACCACCCAACTAGCCTCCCACGCAGGCGTTTTTAGGGGAGCTCGTATTTCTTCCCTCCCCAAGGGGAAGAGATACGAGCTCCCCTAAAAACGCCTGCGTGGGAGGCTACCACCCAACATGCCAGACACCGGAAATGCGAAGATGGCCTCGAATTGCCAGCCACAAATTTTTCTATTTTTACATTAAAAAACGTGACTTGACGAACATATTTGATTAGTGTTTTCTATTTCGTTTTGTTTGCAATGTATAGAGCTTGTTTCACTCCTCTGATTTCTTCAAATTTGAGTTGCAATCTTTGTTTATGGTATTATGATCAACTGGTCCACTTTGATAAAGAAGTCAGAATCTCTGGGAGTATAGACTACGAGTAGTCCCCCATTTTTCCTCGGGGTAGTAGAGCGAGCGAAACGCGAGCACGCGTGAAAATTACCCCACGCGAGAAAAGGCGACACGCGGCGGGGAGAGAGAGAAAAAAAAGTTTCCTCATTTTTCTCTCTCCCCGCCGCGTGTCGCCTTTTCTCGCGTGGGGTGATTTTCACGCGCGCTCGCGTTTCGCTCGCTCTACTATCCCTGAGGAAAAATGGGGGACTACCGTAGTCTACTGGGAGTATTCTTAACATTTCCACTGTTCAGTTTTTAAAATGTCATTTGACACCTCATATGACGTTATCTATCGAAACCTGTATTAGGCGGACACCCTGTATTAAGCGGATCCACGTAGAAAGCCGGTTCGATTCAACCTACAGGTCGTTTGAAAACAAACAAGACACGAATAATTTTGTTGTCTTCTACTGTTTCATCATAGCCTGCGAAAACATTCGTTTCTCTGGCGAAGAGCGAGGAGAAACGGATTTTTGGCAGACTAGTTTCATCACTGCGATAACTTCAACCAGTCACGTGCCTTATAAGCTGCCGCTTTTGAGATGCTAGTGTAATACCTATGAGGAATCGATCGATGTTTTTAATTTGTTGTCGTTTACCGTTTCATCAGTGCAATAAATTCAACCAACGACGTGCTTTGTCTCTGGGGACGAGATTGCCTAACCTGAATGCTCCAGACCCCCGCAAAATTAATTTTTTTTTAACCCAGGAGGGGGATGGCGAGGATGACCGAGAAAAAAATAAAACAAAAATAAAATACAATATTTTTTTCATCAAGAGAATTTTTTAGACGAAAGATAGGACTACCGTCTGAATGGGATAAGCCCTGGGGACGAGCTCAGGTGATATGAATCATGAACACAAATCTGTAACAAAAAAACACGTAGTATATTTGGTTCTGTTGGACTTGTCAAAGGCCTTTGACAGTATCGAGCATGGGATCCTATTACGTAAACTTCGAGAACTGGGTGTGTCTATACAGGCCATGGAATGGTTTAGAAGCTATCTGACGGACAGGAATCAGCGGGTGAGGATTGGTTGTGAGGTGTCAGATCCTCGCCAGGTAGCTTATGGTGTACCTCAAGGGTCGATCTTGGGACCAGCCCTTTTTAATATATACATCAACGATCTTCCAGCTGTCCCTAACCTGTGCTCACTAAAGAGTTACGTGGATGATTCCCAGCTCTATCTCTCGTTTCCTGTCCAGGAGACAGCCATGGCTGTGGAACATTTGTCCGAAGATTTGCAACGGATTGCCGCCTGGTGTTGCACACACAGCTTGCTGATAAATCCAGATAAGACTAAGTTATTGCTTCTTGGAACCCCGCAGATGTTAGCTCGTGTGCCGGAGGGTTTTGGAGTTACGCTACTCGGTAAGGAGATTCTACCGTCTCGTTCTGCAAAAGATTTGGGGGTCATCGTGGACTCGCGCCTTAGTTTTGACGAACATGTGACCGATGTTGTATCTAAGTGTACAGGTAGCCTGTGCCAAATCAATCGTGTGAAACATTTGTTTGATAGGTCTACGCTCATAACCATCATAAATTCATTAGTGTTCAGCAAGATTTTCTATTGTTCCTCCATGTGGTCTAGTACAACAAAAAAGAACATTGCTAGGCTTCAAAAAGTTCAGAATTTTGCGGCACGGATTGTGACTGGCACAAGAAAGTATGAGCACATCACGCCGATGTTAAAGGAACTCCACTGGTTGCCGGTTGCTAAGCAACTGGAGGTTAGAGACATTTTAATGGCTTTCAAATGTATAAAGGGATTAGCCCCACCATCCTTGTGTAATAAGTTTTCGACAAGAAGGCAGATGCATACTAGAAATACTAGGAATAAAGATAAACTTCATGTACCATCTTTTAGATCAGCAACAGGTCAGCGATCTTTCTCATATAGGGCTGTTCAGCTCTGGAATGACCTTCCAGAAAGTTTAGCAAACATAGAGTCATTTAATGTTTTTAAGAATGCGATTAAAGGACGTGCCCTTGACGAGTTTTTAAGCCATTGACACTCAATAGGTGTAATTATGCATATTTTATATTTTTTAAATAGTATGGTAATGTTTTTTCACTTTCAAATGTTTATATTGAATTTCTATTGTTCATATTAGATTTTATTGTAATTGGTATGTGAAAACCCATTTTAATTGGATGTACCAATAAAGTTGATTTGAATTTGATATTTTAAACACGCTGCGGTAACTAGTAAATATCAAGTGTGTTTGTGGCTTGAGGAAGTGTCGGTAATGTCGGGTGGGCTAGAAATGTACATTTCCCACGCTAAGCCTGGCCCGAAACTATCGAAACTATTTATATGCGTGTTGGTTATGTTTTTTATTCGCGTTTTTCACAATGAACGGTTCAACCGATTTCTATGATTTTTGGCATCCTTAATAAATAATGATGGAACTTTAAGAAAATGTTATTTATTTTCTTGTAGTTATAAAAACCTTTGAGATATTGGCATATATTTAAAACCGCATTCGGTTACCAAAAATGCAAATAACTTCGAAATCCCACGACAGATTTTTCCTTAACTTCAGCAAATAAGCCTCAGAGCTCTCTTGTTTTATATCTGCAAGTTTGACGGCAATCGTGACCGTAGAACTCGCTGCACAAAATGCTGGTCAAACTTAACCTTAAACTGCTACACTAACACCTTTGTGAAAGATGACGCACGAATAGAGGACTATCTCCTATCTGAAAGGATATTCCTACCTGAAGCTTTATTGCAAGAAACTGACGATTGTCATATTTGTCTTTCTCTTTATCCCCATGTCGGGAACCGGAGGGGGCGGGGAGAGACTCTGCGAATGAAAGGGGTGGGGATGCTCGCCGGAAATTTTGAAATAAACCCCTAAATGAGACTCATCTGGGCGTGGCTAAAGCTTTTTACACAGACAATATATATATATTTTCGCGTGCAACCCTAAACAAGACCTTCACGGCTAAATATGATGGCGTTTTGCCCAGAATACCCTAAGTGAGACCAAAATCCGAAATTTACACCCCTAAGCGAGACGACGGGCATCCCCACCCCTTTCATATGCAGATTCCCCCCCCCCTCCCTGCGGGGTCGGGAATCGCCCCCGTATTCATAGAAATCCACGACAATTTTCTTGATTTAGCTTTAATCACAATAACGAATCCCAAAGTCACAGGTTTCGCAACCCACTGACTCACAGGTATTTCAGCACAACAAGTTGGTTTTAATATAGCGTGATCTTCTCCCTTCGACTCCCCACAATACGCATGAAACCTAATCTATATTACTATAGGTTATCTGTTCCTTGAGCTTATCGGAGATCATGAGCTAATTATTTAGCAATCAACGTTGCCATCAAATTGAAATATGATAAAGAAAAAAGGATAAAAATATACTACGAAATACGTACGCACACTATTGACGCACAATTCCCAACACCCAAGTGGTAAACTTCCGGTGCAAAAAACAAAACTATATTCTTACATTTGCTTCATTTGCACTGGCATCTGCGTTTTTCTGTTATTGTGATTTTTAATTGTTGTTATTTTAATAAGAAGACAGAGAAATAAGACAACTAGTTTCAAATAACATTGTTAAATACAGTTTTCTCCTGGTTTGCTAATCCTGGCAATAAGTATATATGCCCTTTGGTGATAGGTAAAAAAGGGAAAGGTGCATGCAAGCCAAAGGCCCAAACGACAGGAGCTTATTCCAGTTTCCTTAGCATGAAGCATGCTTAGGAACATTGCTACTCCCCCCCTGGGCGCGATCGCAGGGTTACACCCTAGCAGTATGTTGCCAGTACCCATTTATAGACCTGGGTGAGGAGAGACAAAATGAAGTAAAGTTTCATGTCTAAAAAAAATGCAATGGGTGATTCTTGAACCCCAGACCACTAAGTCTGGAGATTGAGGTGTTGAATGGTCGGCGACACACACCTCCACAAAAGTGAAAGACTGTCCTCAGAATCTCACAGTTGTCCTGAATTCTTTGCTCCTTGACCAACTATTCACATTTCTGACAATGTTTCAGCTATTGCCATTAACATCAGCTTCCAAGAGGGGTTTACTTACTAATTAATGCTTATAAATAACATCATAATGATTACTTTACAGAAATAGGTTTTTCTTTTCAAGACAATAAATATCTACTTCCTTCAAACAAAGTGTGATTCATGTGTGGATACAACATCTCAATGACCTCTAAAAAAATTCAAAACCAGAACATTGTTTACCAACACCTTGTATTTTGTACCGTCTAGCAAATTGGACACTATTAATAATGACGTTCTCAAAAAAGTTTGAAGTCTTTTTTCAAAATTCTGAGACCAATCAGAGCTGCTCCTACTCCAGCTAATAATGAAGTTGTCAGCACTGTCTTCTTTACTAACTGAAACAAAAAGTAAACATCAATATTATTATCAAGAAATAATGACAAAAGTCCGTTGCATTAATAGATAAATATATTATACAGACAAACTGTAGGATACTCATGATAAATTTAGCTCATTCTGAGTTGATGATAGAGTGGAAAGCAGGAAAGAAAAAACAAATTTAATATGAAGAATCCTAAAGGAAATGATCTGTCAGTCTGTGGGGATAATGACCTTTGACAATGCTTAATTTAAAAATGGTTGCAGGTTTACCTCTACTCTAAAAATGCAGGGGGAAGTCTATTTGAAAAGTGAAGGCTGGGATAGAAAAAATAGAAATAATGTTGTAGGACAAGCAAGATCTGTTAAGTTCCCTCATGGCCTAATGCACCGCTGATGATGACGATGTTAATTTTGTTGATGATGATGATGTTGTTGCTGTTGTTGATGATGATGATGACGATGATGTTTAATTTTTACACACGATTCCTGGCAAAACCATGTAAAAGTGATATGATTTCGTGTATCAATAAAGAATGGTGATGATGATGATAATGATGATGTGTTGATAAAGCTGCCTCATGGCTCAGCTCTCCCACCCCCGAGCTGGGAGAGCTTATTTGTAGGCTAGAGAAAAATAAATTAGGACTATATTTTTCACATGCACCTCATCTTGCCAGTGTGATCTTTCAACTACTGTGTGGTAAGGTATCTGAGTAAATGATACCTGAAGACAACATAAACAAAGGCAAGCAGTGAGTTAAAAAGACACCAATAAAATAGAAGCATAAGTTAAACATTGTTCAAAGACCCAGCGGAAAACGATTGTTAACATCTCTTCCCCAGTCCTAGTAGGCTTGATATATGCCACTCTATTGGGTCCCAAGTTCATTTCCCAAACAGTGAGTGGTAATCAAACCTCAACTCTCTTTCGCAGTCCTCATGGGTTTATTTAAATCAATTTTGCACTCTCTCTCATACAACTAACCTTTTCCATTCCTAGTACAGGGGAACCTTGATTTAACAAAGGGCCAAGGGACTGATAAAATTTGTTCGTTATAACGAGGTTTTGTTACATTGATGTTCTTTTTCATATATCTTACTATTATAGGGATAAAGAAAATCATTTGCTAAATCAAGGACTTCATTACAAAGAGGTTCGTTAAATTGACGTTCCACTGTACATTTATTTTTACCTTGTCTCTCTCACTTCCTTAACTCTTTTTTAATTTGTAAGTCTCTTTTCCAGTCCTGCACTTTCATTTTGCACAGGTTTCCTCTTCTGTTTTGCTTGTTACAAGTACTCTAGATCCTAGAACAGCCTACCCAATCACATCCTGTGCATTCATTGTACTTACCATGGTGTAAAGAGGTATAAATGTCCTGGGCATAACCCAGTTAAGAAAGTTAAACAACTTCTTCTTCATAAGGAAAACTGGTGAAGTCACCAAAGATCTCATCTGTGCCAAGAAAAGGAAAATACCAAGGTTATTGTGATATTATTTTCATTATAACAGAACACATGGTTTTCAGTAACAATTACAGTACAAAACTATAAATAGATAAAAACTATCCTGGCTAGTAAAAAAAGAGTGTAACTGTAAAAGGTTCTATGGAACTAAATAATAAAATTCTCCGTGCTGAGCAACTGGCAACCAATATAGTTGCTTTAATGTGGGGATGACATGGTCAAATTTTCTTGCCCCAGAGGCAACCCTAGCTGCAAAACTTTGCACTTTCGGAAACGAAACGAAACGACCCATTTAAATCACCTTTATATTTTTTACCATTTACCATTAAATTATAAGAGTGTTTCTAGTCAAAGTTCAAGAAAGATAACAAAAATCAGATGGTACCGTGTATGTTAGAAACTGATGAGAGACCTGTTTGAATGGTCACCTCAAAAAAGGTTTTTTTCCCATGGATTCAATGGTAAACAACTTCACAGTGTCTTCATAATGAACCAGTTTTACTCACCTCAATGTAGTTGTACATTGCTAAATCACACATGGCCTCAACATCCTTGTTCCTCGTTCTGGTGTATTCTGCCAGAGCTCTTGCTGTTCATGTAGCAGAGACATAAAGAAAATGGAAATTTCATCCAACTATTGCAAAAGTTCCTAAATATGTCTTTTGGATTTAATCAACAAGGCACAAGTTGCTCAAAATGTGGAGGAGAGCCATTTCCACCAAATAAATCACTATCCACTGGATAACACAATATTATTAGTTAACAGCCATTTATCCTGTGGATAGCACTATCCAGCTTTTGAGTAACCAGGGCCTCTGGATGATTAGGTAAAACAGCTAAAGAAATTCAAAAGCTGACTTTCTGTATGATTATACAAAGCACAAGTTTGTCAGTGCAAATCCGATAAATGTCAGCTTAGTTTAAATGTAGTTTTTTATTGTTTTCATGCAGGGTAATTCACTAAACCCAATAGTTTCTGAATTTCAAGACCACAATTGAAAAGAAGTCTTATCTTCACATCTCTTAATTCTGAATGACTGACGTATAAATGTGAGTCCCGAGGTGCAATATCATCATCATCATAATGATAATATAAAATTATTGCTAATAATCATTGCCATGCAGTATACTGTACATGTAACTGTAGATTGCCAATTAAGGTGGATTGTCTATGCGTGTGAATTAATGTAAAAAATACAAACAAAGGCAATCCATCTTAGATACACTACAGGTAGGTAACACCAACAAGAAGTTGGGTGCACGAGTTCTGACTGAATAAAAATAAAGCGGTGTCAGTTCACTAACCAAAATCATTGTTGTGTTTCTCCAGAAGCCCATCAAGAACCAAACAATCTTCAAATGCCTGAGGAAGAAATTGGGAAAATCATAAAATGGGAAAACAAGATTTAAATTTAACCCAATCTATGCACAGGTGTATATTCATCAATTAATGATCACATCCAGACTTTGATTCAATATAATATAAATAAAATTGTGACTTAGTAATCAAAAGTTTTTGTTAAAATAAGAAAATGGAAAATATTTTGCATACTACATGAATAGGGAATTTGATCACTCACTTACTTGCTAACTCATTCACTCTTTCATTCATTCATTCAATCATTCATTCATTTATTCATTCACTCATTCATTCATTCATTTATTCACATTTCTTTGTTTCTAAAGTGCACAAACGAACTATACATACACAATTTGTTCCTTGGCCATAGAAAGGAACCATGGCATGAGCAGCGTCACCAATGAGCAAAACTTTGTCAGAAACATGATATGGTTTACACTAATGAAAAAACACAATCTATTATTAGTTACATAAAGGAGAAATAAGATGTACAACAGTAATATACTAGTATTGTATTTACTTGGAAGAGGGGAGGGGAGGGAGAGGGTAACTGATTTTGCTGTCTTTGATTTGGTTTGCATGAAGGATTAAAAAACAAAACAAAGAACCATTTTCACATAATTTGCAGCCAGCACTAATACCTTTGCTTTAAATAGGAGGCTAATAAGCCTACACAGAAATGGCCTATTGCAATACAGGGGCGGATCCAGGTGCAGCGCTAAGGAATGGCGTAACTGACTGGTGACGGAAACAAATTTTAATACAGAATACAAGTTGTATTAGAGAGCTGTAGGCCATGTCAGGGGGGAGGGGGAGGTGTGTGCCCCCTGCACTCTCCCCTTAGATCCAGCCCTACAGTATACCAGTATTGTTAATTTGCAGATCAATATCTAAGGTACCTTGACTGATACCATGGGGCCAGTTGGATTTCTGAAGAATTCCTCCACCAGTTTTTCTCTAATAAAATCAAACCAAAAGCATGAGTAAAATACAGTAAAATACCTTTTTATGGAGTTTATAAGTAACTTCTTGAGTGCTCAAAATTGCATAAGCAAAACAAAAATTGATTGCTTTATTAGAAATGCTGCAGGGAAAAAAATTTTAGTACACTGACAATATTATTGTTTGTCCAGGAAGCATTAATGTCTACAATCTGTTCAAAAGGGCAAAAACTATAAAGTAGCTCTTTTAATGTTCAGAAACTGACAATTTAGTTTTTTCATCCTTTTTCATTTGCTGTGTTAAGGAATATTATTCTAGTCTTATGCTGGGGGGATGGATGGGGTGATGTGGTTTTCTACAAGTTAATAAACAGACTGAGAATAACCAGACAGACAGACAGTACGATCTTGTGAAGCAAAAACCTAGTTACAGAGTATTCTTGTGGCTGTGGAAGTCAAGAAGAATATCACTCTCTTACTCTCCCATTAAGGCCAGGAAATCAGGGAATTCTCTTTGAAAAAATTCCAATACATCTTCCTGCAAAGCATAATTCATCAAAAATAATAATTATAATTCATTCATCTTATGAACCCTGCTTTCTCAGTCCTGATACTGTAAAATTATCTATGAACCAAGTTTTTTCCCATTGATTTAATTATGGCGACAGGGAAAGAAAATAGAGGAACGTTATTTACAGTGTGTAAACTAACAACAGGGAGAAAGAGGTTTAGCAGGGCTCGAAATTGACGCTCGCAAACTTGAAAAATGCGAGTGATTTTGATAATCTGCGAGTGAGAAAAATATCCACTAGCAAACGTTTGCGAGTTAGAATCATCCATGTAACCAAACAAAGGGAAAGAATTTGCTAGTGGTCTCACCAGTTTGCTAGTGGAAAAAAATTTCACTAGCAAAACTTTGCAAGTGCACTAAAAAGTTAACTTCGAGCCCTGTTTAGCAAGATATCCATTGGATGCAAAGGAAAGGAAAATTTTCAAATTTAGTGGGCTATACAGTAGAATCTAGCCTATGAAATTGACCAACAAAAGCACCCATGAAACTAACCAACTGAGTGATACAATAATAGAAAAATAAAAATAACAATACATGTTAAGAGTACCATACCTTTGTTTTTAACACATCAAACTGATCAAATGGTAGAAACAGTGTACAGGTAAATGACTTGTCCTTAAAAAACAACAACAAAACTATTTTAGCTATGGCAAGTAGTAAAGTAACATCTTATTTCTCTTGTGATCATATTTTCATGAGTGGGAATCATAAGCTGCTGATTTGACAAACGACCCTTTGGACAGGTCATCTGGCAAATATGATTTAAAACAGTGGGGAGATCCATTAACATTTCATTCCAGCTGACCAAGAGCTTCAGTGGCTTCCCCACTTTTCTTCCCATATTTTCTGTGAAAGACACTTGTATTAAGTGGACATCTCCACTAGGGAGGATCCCATTGGAGTCTGCTTAATGAATGCAAGTTTCACTATAATCTGCAAACAACGACTGGGGTCATGTAGCAGCTGCTCGGAAGGGAAATCACCAATGGTTTGTTTCCCTAACCCCAAACAATACTAAAATAATAATTGTTTATTCTTCCAATTATTGGAAGAATGACATGTCATTATTTCCCACAACCAATTAGGAGAAACCTAATGAACAGCCCCTACTCTACTCAACAACTTTCACATTTCAAAGAATATAGTAAGTACATGTACCTGATTTGGTAAAGCTATTAACATGAATGTCTGTCTTGGCCATATGTGTAAATAATTCACTGCCATAGCAAACTACAATTGAAATAAATAAATAAATAACAAATAAACAAATTTATTATAGAATAATTTTATAATAAATTATATTTATATGTTAATTATTAACATATAAACATGCACAGCTTAACTTGTTTTTGTTATTAATATATTCAGCCTGTGCCAAGCCTTAGGACGTCCAAACCAGGAAATTTTTAGATTATTTCATAAAATAACCCATCTTTTTGTTGGTGTCAAGATCATCCAGTAGTTAATGTACAGAGAAAGAATTTGTATGGTTACAAAAAGAAATTCTAAAATACACCATATTATTATATAAACACCAATCAAATACCAGGTGAGCTTTCGCGTGAAAACTTGATATCTTCACATGTGAAAGTATCCCCTTTGCTATGGCTACATAATAAATTGCGCCTTTCACACCAAAAAACTATTAAAGTGAAATGGTTTGGTATTTCATTGGTGTTTATATAATAAATAGAACATTACATGGCTGCTTGGAGATAAGAAATTTCTTCTTCTCGTGTTGAAAAAATGTTTCACTCATTTGCTACGCTCACTGGTGAAATATTTTTCAACACTTAAAGAGAAATTTCGTATCTCCGCGCGGCCATGTAATATCCTCTATACATCTTATTATTATTACATATTATTATATGGGGATTGTTGTTTAAAAGAAAAATTTCCAAACCTCTCCATCTTGGGTGGGAGAAAGGCAAAGTTCTTTATAACCATGAGGAATGTACTCTTGGCTAAAATCAAACCTAAATTATGAAAAAATCAGAAAGGTTAAGCTGAGTGTAATGCAATTTTTTTACAAGATTTGAAAGAGTAAGAATAAGCTATACCTCATATTATTTCTGAAATTAAAAATCAACAAAATACATAAATAAAATGCACTGTTGTATGAGGTAAGAAAGGGAAAAATAGGGATAACACAAGAACTAATCTGGTGTGTGCCATCATGAGGTCTTTGCAAGATTTTAACGGTGTGGTACTATGGATTCACCAAAGAATAGTTGTTGATGGTATTCTTTTTCCCTTGTTGGTAAATGGCGATAGCTACAACTAGTTAACAGGGACTGGATATTTCATGGTGATTATTAATGGATCTCAAGCATTTGACTGCTACTCTACAGCTGTACCTTGGCCTTTTCATCAGCTCTCTTCGCACAGCGGAGTACGCTCCATCACTTCCGATGATGTGGTCTGCATCAACCTCAAGTATCTGATCATTATTTGCAAGGCTTTATAAAAGATATAAATTGACAGGGTTACTGATGCTGTTTCAAATATAACTAAGCAAAAGCATTAACTTTTTGTATGAAATAACAGAGCCTATTACAGTACAGTTTATCATAAACAAGCATATTTTTTTAGAAACATACCACTTGAATGTGAGATGGCCTTTCTCTGGATCAACAGCAACAAGTTTGTGCTCAAAGTGCAGGCCAACGTGGCGATAAGACTCTGACACTAATAGGAAAGAAAATCAGTCGTTTGTCAGTCATACATCAGTCACACATTGTCTAAGAGCAGAGGGGGTGGGGTGAAAGTTCAGAGACATGTCTCCTCTCAGGGGTGGAATGAGTGGGTGGACTCCTCCCCTAGGGGTACTAGGGTGGGACTGGGGATGGACGTTACTGCCATTAGTGATAGGTAAAAGTGGAAAGCAAACTAATTAATGTACACGCCAACCTTTTGCATAACAAGTCACTTATATATCTATCTAGGGTTAAGAAAGAAATATACATATAGAAAACTGGAAGTGATTGATTGATTTTTACAAAGTTCAACAAAATGTGCATTGAACAGGTACGAGAATCCAGATGTTTCGAGGGTTCTCCCTTTTCATCAGTGCTTTGGATCTGGATTTTTGTACCTTTTCAACGCACATTTTGACATATCTACGTATAGGTAGCAGAAACAAACAGATACAGTAGGAGAGTCCTAACACTTACCAGACAGAAGATCTTTATTCAGCTTCTGCCTCTCAACTGATAACAGATACTGTTAGAATAATAATATAGTTAAAGAAATGGATTGATAGAATTACAGCTACAAAATAAAAGTAATTCATTTTTTAAAAAATAAATAAAATTGTAATGTGTCAATTTGGGTATTAGAAGTAATACAGACTACAGCAACAGTGATATCTCCAGAAAAGGAAAGAAACTAAGAAAGGCCAGTAAATCTGAGCAAATGTACATGCACAAACATGTCAGTCAACTTTTTCTTCACAGAAACCTCAGATGCTTGGTGGTACAAACAGTGTCCATTTATAAGAGAGCTGATGGTTTACAGAAACTGTTGTGTATCAAGGAGCCGATATGGTGTCATTGATATTATCTGATCTTTATGCATGTGCAAGTGGAACTGTGTATTCTTACCAGAGAACTTTATACAGTCAAACCACGTTAATACGGACACTGAGGTGGCTAACGAAAGTGTCTGAATTAACAGGGTGTCCATATTAAGTGGGTAATGAATTCAAAACAAATGTAAGGGCTTTCTTTCCCCAGGGACAAAGCAGACTGTCCGCAATAATGAGGTGTCCACGAAGTGGGGTTTGACTGTGTTATTTTAAAATCTTAGTGTTAGTTATGCAGCTGTAGTATAAAGACATAGGGTTGAGGTAGGCATAGAAGGATAAAGTGCTGAGAACAACTCACCTGTCCTTGTTTTCCATATGGGATGGGTGTTGTCTCACCACTGTGAGAATGAATCATGCGTGCATGCATTGGTATACCGAGAGAAAGAACCTGATTGGATGAAATCAGAATATTGTGGGTCTATTACATAATCACATGTGCATTTCTTGCTTTCACCCTATAAATCATTAGAAATTANACTGTGTATTCTTACCAGAGAACTTTATACAGTCAAACCACGTTAATACGGACACTGAGGTGGCTAACGAAAGTGTCTGAATTAACAGGGTGTCCATATTAAGTGGGTAATGAATTCAAAACAAATGTAAGGGCTTTCTTTCCCCAGGGACAAAGCAGACTGTCCGCAATAATGAGGTGTCCACGAAGTGGGGTTTGACTGTGTTATTTTAAAATCTTAGTGTTAGTTATGCAGCTGTAGTATAAAGACATAGGGTTGAGGTAGGCATAGAAGGATAAAGTGCTGAGAACAACTCACCTGTCCTTGTTTTCCATATGGGATGGGTGTTGTCTCACCACTGTGAGAATGAATCATGCGTGCATGCATTGGTATACCGAGAGAAAGAACCTGATTGGATGAAATCAGAATATTGTGGGTCTATTACATAATCACATGTGCATTTCTTGCTTTCACCCTATAAATCATTAGAAGTTACTGTAAATGCTCCAGTTAGAACATGTGGTAGAAGGTCTGACATGTTAATGATACTGATAAGATGTTTTTAAAGGTATCTGGTCATTATAATAATTTAAGGGGGCAGGTGGGGTGTATAGGGGAGGCTGACCCTCAGATGAAGGGTCACCATGTCAAGTTCTCCTTCTTTTAAGAGGCAGATCTTTTTGCTGAGGCCTCTCCCAGTGATCTTGCTACAAGAAGTTATGGTGAGTCTTGGGACTCATCTTGTGAAAAATCATGAGTCCCAGTTAGAAAAACAACAAGTCCAAAATTGAAAATGCTTCGGTCTTTATGTAATCAGACAGTTAATATGAAGACAGACTCTAAAATTCTGTTTTACAGTATATGGAAATTAAAATAAAGTCCTTCTATATTAAAGCACAGCAAAGGCTAAAAGAGAAGTGCATCGTTAAACAACAGCCATAATAACTGCCACAGAAATTAAATAACTTGTCTAGGAAAAACACATGTTCAGATCGATCAATCAATCTTTGCATCCTCTGGGAAGCATGCCGTGAGTTATTTTGTGTCTTTGGGTATTTTTATATGTCAAGGATGCAGGACGCAGAGGTAACAATATTACTGCTCTCCCCTTTTACCCCCACCCTTGGCAGAATATTCACTCCCAGAACTAAACAAGTACTCTAGATCCTAGAACAGCCTACCCAATCACATCCTGTGCATTCATTGTACTTACCATGGTGTAAAGAGGTATAAATGTCCTGGGCATAACCCAGTTAAGAAAGTTAAACAACTTCTTCTTCATGAGGAAAACTGGTGAAGTCACCAAAGATCTCATCTGTGCCAAGAAAAGGAAAATACCACGGTTATTGTGATATTATTTTCATTATAACAGAACACATGGTTTTTCAGTAACAATTACATTAAAAAACTATAAATAGATAAAAACTATCCTGGCTAGTAAAAAAAGAGTGTAACTGTAAAAAGGTTCTATGGAACTAACTAATAAAATTCTCTGTGCCGAGCAACTGGCAACTAATGGAGTTGCTTTAATGTGGGGATGACGTGGTCAAATTTTCTTGCCCCAGAGGCAACCCTAGCTGCAAAACTTTGCACTTTCAGAAGTCAAGCACTGTTTTTCTTTGTTGTACTAGCCCAAACTGACAAACAATAAAACAATTTAATTCATCAATGCCCCTGCTTTGAAAGTGAGGTTTATTGACACTAGGAAATGACCTATTTATGATTATCACCTTTATATTTTTTACCATTTACCATTAAATTATAAGAGTGTTTCAAGTCAAAGTTCAAGAAAGATAACAAAAATCAGATGGTACCATGTTTAAGTTAGAAACTGATGGGAGATCTGTTTGAATGGTCACCTCAAAAAAGCGTTTGTCCCATGGATTCAATGGTAAACAACTTCACAATGTCTTCATAATGAACCAATTCTACTCACCTCAATGTAGTTGTACATTGCTAAATCACACATGGCCTCAACATCCTTGTTCCTTGTTCTGGTGTATTCTGCTAGAGCTCTTGCTGTACATGTAGCAACAGACAAAAAGAAAATGTCAATTTCAACCAACTATTGCAAAAGTTCCTAAACAGGTGTTTTGGATTTAATCATCCAGGCAGAAGTTGCTCAAAAGGTGGAGAGCCATATCCACCAAATAAATCACTATCCACTGGAAAACACAATTAGTTTCCCTGCTACTCCACTTATCCACTGAATAGTGATTTATCCTGTGGATAGCACTATCCAGCTTTTGAGCAACCAGGGCCACTGGGTGATTAGGCAAAACAGCTAAAGAAATTCATAAGCTGACATTCTGTATGAGTACACAAAGCACAAGTTTGTCAGTGCAATCCTGATAAATGCCAGCTTTAGTTTAAATGTAGTTTTTTATTGTCTTCATGCATGGTAATTCACTTATAAATTAATATATATATAGTTTTTGAATTTCAATACCACAACTGAAAAGAAGTTGTATCTTCACTTCTCTTAATTCTGAATGACGGACGCATAAATGTAAGACAGAAGGTGCAATATCATCATCATCATAATGATAATATATTGCTAATTATCATTGCCATGCAGTATACTGTACATGTAGTTTCTCAGTTAAGGTGGATTTTCTATGCGTGTAAAATTTACAAACTTACGCAAGTAAGAATTCTAAACAAAGGAAATCCACCCTTAGACACACTACAGGTGGTTAATACTAACACGAAGTTGGGTGCATGAGTTCTGACTGAATAAAAGTAAAGTGGCGTCAGTTCACTAACCAAAATCATTTTTGTGTTTCTCAAGAAGCCCATCAAGAACCAAACAATCTTCAAATGCCTGAGAAAGAAATAGGGAGAATCATAAAATGGGAAAACAAGATTTAAATTTAACCCAATCCATGCACAGGTGTATATTCACCATATTAATGATCACATCCAGATTTTGATTCAATAAAAAATAATTATAATATAAATAAAATTGTGACTTAGTAATCAAAAGTTTTTGTTAAAATAACAAAATGGAAAATACCGTGCATACTACATGCATTGAGAATTCATTCACTCACTTACTTGCTAATGTATTCATTCTTTCATTCATTCATTCACATTTCTTTGTTTCTAAAGTGCACAAATGAACTGTACGTACACAATTTGTTCCTTGGCCGTAGAAAGGAACCATGGCATGAGCAGCATCACCAATGAGCAAAACTTTGTCAGAAACATGATATGGTTTACACTAAGGAAAAAAACACACTCTATTATTAGTGACATTAATAATAAAGAAATAAGATGTAAAACAGTAATATACTAACACTGTATATACTTAGGGCCAGGGGAGGGAGAGGGTAAATGACTTAATTGCTGTCTTTGATTTTGTTTGCATGAAGGATTAAACAACAAAACAAAGAACCGTTTTCACATTGAAACCAGCACTAACACCTTTGCTTTAAAACAGAAGGCTAATAAGCCAACACAGAAATGACCTAATGTAGTACCAATTATATTAGAAAGCCATAGGTCATGTCAAGGGTGGGGGGGGGGGGGGGTGCACCCCCGGCACCCTCCCCTTAGGTCCCCCCCGGCAGTATCCCAAAAAGTTTATTTTGCAGTTTGGTATCAAGGGAACCTTGATGGTAACAAGGGGGCACGTGGAATTTCTGAAGAATCCCCCCACCAGTTGTCCTTTAAAAAAACCAACC